TTTTTTTTCGTTCTTCTAGTCTCTGTAAAAAATTTTTTCATTTTCCCATAGCATTTTTAAACAAAATAATTGAGGCCGAGGTATTGTCATATTTGTACTGATCGCAACATTCCCGTAAGTTGTGCAACCCATGGTTCTGGTTCTAAATCTTGGAAAGAAGGCTAACCCAACCTTTGTTTCTATATACAGTCACTGGTGAAGGAACTGAATCTGCCCATTCCTAAGAGTAAACTGCAGTAAAATTATTAATTCTGAAATATTACCCTTAAAAAGCTGCAGAAGAAAATAATGTTGAAACTGTTTCTACATATTTTTTCCAGTAGCTAATTTATTTAATTATTTTTGTCTTCTTCATTGTTGTTATTCGTCTTAATTCTGCCATCAATTCTTCATCTACCACTCTGAAAAAACAATGAGACTTCATTTTAAAATTCACTCATCGCAGTTACTTTCTGTTTTTTTTGTCATCTTTGTTTTCCGTGACCTATCTGCTGAACCGGAAGCTAACAACACAGTTTCAAGTGTTAATACAACAAGGTATGTTGATCTCTGCACTTTTTACCGTTTTAACCCAGAAACGTGTGTCAGGCTTTTTTTTTCATTTCTACTTTCTCGCTCGACGTAGGCCAAAAAGTGGAAGAATTTTTTTTTTTGCTGTTTTTTATTCTCGTCATTCATTGTTTATGTCCAGAAGTTGACTTTAGCAAAAAAAAAAAGCACCTTTTTGTTTTTGTCGAATTATTAGTGTCAATACATCAGATTAATTTGGCTAAAAAACACTGTTCACTGTTGTTGTTTAGCAGTTTTAAACGTCTGCCATGTCTGTCAGAACGTCATTTAGGAAGACACCTAAATTACAACGTTTACTCATACCATAACTGTTTTTGCTGAATAGCAATTGATGGTGCCCATTTGATTGATAATAACAAGTTGATTTTAAAGAAATTAAATACTACATTAAATCCACTCATTTTTATTCTTATTAGCTCTTATACTCTGCTCAGTTTCAAATGGGCATTGATCTTCGGCGAGCCATTAAATCGGTGTTTAATGCGACTGCTCAGTGCTTAATTTTTTAATTCTGAACTGTTAATAGGAGAAAAAAAGTGGGAAAGAGAAGTGCGCGAAAAATTTTAAAATATGTCAAATGAGCGAAAAAAAAATTTGTAAAAAAATTAAAATATTTATGTATTGTTTCTTTTTTACCATTTTTTACTTTTTATTCGTTTATTATTTATTTACTTACTTACTTTTTTGTGTTTAACAGTAGCGAATTTTGTTTGGCGAACTCTTCAACAACGTAATGACAAATGAAGCAAAAAAATGAAAAAAGCAGTATGGATCTGTGTGAAAATTTAATGGCTGCCGACTGAGTCATCGCCACTGTTACATTTCTTTTCTGTTCAAAAATTTTACATCGATTTGTCGTCTTTTGTCCCCAATGGTATTTCATTTTTCTTTCTGCTATTTTCAGCCATTATTCGATCATCTTATAGCACACTAACCACTCAGCCATATCTACTAACCCATTTTGATGTAAGAGGAGGAAAAAAAAATTTTTTTCAATTTGTCATTTGAAACCGTTCGTTGTTTAGTTTCGAAAACCGTTTGGCAAATTGCTGATTTTGTTGTTCCCGCTTTTCAGCCTCTGAAATTAATGGCTTTAACACCTGGAAAACGGGGTCTTGATGGTATTGAGAGCTGAGTTGAGTAGTGTTCAAAGTTTAAAGCGTCAAAAACAATGAAGCCAGTTCTTTCTAATTAGAAAAGATCTTTGTTTTTCACTTGATACCCTGTTCAAAGATTGATTTATTAAATATGTCGTAATGCTCTAGCCAAAAAAAAATTTAGTGTCCCATTTTTGTTTTAATAAGCATCAAGCAATAGACAAAAGGGAAGGAACTTGCCTTAAAAAAAAAGGAAAAGAGTATCTGAATCTTTGGCTTTATTAACTTGTCGAATTAATCATGAAAATCGACTACTTCTCCGTCCCTTATCTCCGTTCTCCTCTAACTTCCCTCGCCTATTTGATCTCTTCCTCATCATGCATTTTGCCACTTTTCAACTGAGCGCTTCAAAATGACTGTCTAAGCAAAACCCGAAACAAGCGAAATTAAACTGCAAATCACTGAAAATATCAGAATGTATTTGCTCGGTTCGCATCTCTGAAAGGCATCCTAAAAAAAGCTTTCTGTTTATTTAAAGGTTTATACAAGCATTTTAAAACAGTTTATTTGAGTTCTATTTATAAATATTTACAATTCTTTTTTTTATCTCATTATAATAACACTTAGGTAAAGCAGCTTTTCTCACTTTTTTTTCTGGAATTTCTGAAAAAAAAAAAAGGTTTAAAAATACTCTATTTTGGCAGAAATATTTTGCACCAAAAAAAAAAAAGCAGTGCTTTTTTTTTTTTAGAAATAATAACAGTCAACAGTATTCTTCGGCGAACTCAGGTGTCACTTTTGTTGTTCTTTGTTTATTTCGCTCTTTTAATCAAACTACGATTTATTACTGGTAAGAAAACCTATAAACAATAAAAAAAAAAGATGATTTGTTGTAGCGCTGTTGATAGTTGTTTAGTATTTTTGCTGTAGTGTTACTCAGGTCACAAGAAAAGCAGGTTGAGTTTTCCTGCGAAAAAAAAAAAAGTCTTATCTCTTTTCCGCCTCTGTAAGAGCATTTTATGGGAGGGTTTTTATCAAAGAATACTTGAGGAAACTAAGGGAGCAGAAGAACGAGAAGAGTGGAAATA